TAGACTAAGTGTTCAAAGTATGCTACAATATGTAAATTACATATAAATTTTTTTTAGATTTGTAATCAAGGAAGGATTTTAACAAATACTAGCTGAATACCTAATATTTGCCAGCTAGGACTATAGGTGCTAGTAATACAAAGATGACAAAAAAACAAATCCACTACTGTGAAGTTGATTCTGACTCATAGCAGCCCGTTTGGGCAGAGAACTGCCTCCGAGTTCCCAAGCTGTGAATCCTTACTGAAGCAGAGTGCCACATCACTGTCCTGCATGCAGCATGTGGGTTCTTCTCCTTGCGCATCCTTGGTTCTTCTGGGGCAATCGCATATACCCTGCTGATGACTACCATGAGGACTAAGAGGGTCCTCCAGATGCCTGCTCCAAAAATAATCCCTTCACCTTGAGTGCGAGTATTTACAAATAGGGCATCACCCTAAGATTGCAATGTTTTATATGATGAGAGGTTTTGGCAATGTCCATCAGCTGACTTCGAGTAAATCAAAAGGAAGAGTGTCCTTGGTGCATCTGCTCTAATCAGGTGGGCTGTTTTAAGAGTCACTGCCTGTGGCCTTGAAGAAGCAAACTTCCACAGAGTGAGGGTTTCATATCCTGCAATTGCAAAGCACTAAATTCTATCAACAACCAGTGAACTTCAAAGAAGACCTTGAGTCTCAGATGAGATCACAGACCCAACTACCACTTTGATTTCAGTCAATTAAAACATAAACAGAGAACACAGCTGTGGTGGTTAAGGCTGTGCGTCACTCTAACTAGGCCAAGACTCTCAATAGTTTGACGATTTAAAAATAATGTAACTTAGCAATTATGTAATGTTCTTCCATTTTGTCTGATCACACACACACACACACACACACAATACGCTTCACTGGTTTTGCTTTAGAGAACACAGCCGAAGACAGCAGTTATCAAGCACTCAAATAATCACACAAACTGACACATGAAATAATAACTTTGTATTGTTTTCAGTCACTAAGTTTGTGGTGGTTTGTCACACAGCAAAGAAACTAATATAACTATCAAACCTGCATCATCAATATGAACTTTACCTGAACTTCAAATGTGTTATCCACAAGATTATTTGGTATCTCCACACAAGTACTTCGTAAACACACCAAGTTCAGTGTGTTCCCTAACTTAATTCATAATCTTCCTAACATGTTTCCTACCTTAATGAATAGTACCACTATCAACCTCATTTCCGCTATCTACAATCTGAGTCATCTTTGACAGTTCCCTTTATATCCTTTCTCTCATCCCTCTTCATTCAGATTAATAAAAATGAGAATACTCAAGTATACATATGTTCTGCCCTTCTTTACTTGGGAAGTAGCCTGATCCCAGAGAGCAGAAATTTTCCTCTACTACAACATGCCAAGAGCTGGTAAGTGCCTACTTCTGTGGTAAAGGTAGGCACCTAATCCCACACTGCCTGAGACTGGGTGTGCCTAATTCTGGGATTTACTCGGTAACCCATTTGAGTCTCTAAATTAGAAATGATCGATTAAAGAAAAGAGGGAGAAGTCAGCATTTGGATCTCCACCTTTATTCTTTTACTTCCCCATTTATTCAGTACTCAGTCAGGTAAGAGTGGTAATTCAAGCCCCACAGGTTCCAATAAATAGCACCAAAATCCAACTGACAAAAGTAGAATTTTAAAAAGAATAAATGAAAATGAATAAATAACAGAATTATGGTACAGTGCATCCCATAGATAGGTTGCTAGTTCAAACTCCCCAGCAGTGCTGTGAGAAAGATGCAGCAGTCTGCTTCTTAAAGGCTTACAGCCTTGGAAACGGTGAATTCTATTCTTTCCTATAGGATTATCATGAGTCAGAATCAATTACACGGCAATCCGTTTGGTTTTGAGGCTGAGATGATCAAGATTTTATCAAAGAGGTGACCAACTCAGCACAGACCTAGAGGAAGTACAACAGTGGTTCTCAACCTTCCTAATGCCGCGACCCTTTAATACAGTTCCTCATGTTGTGGCGACCCTCCCAGCCATAAATTTATTTTTGTTGCTACTTTATAACTGTATTTTTGCTACTGTTATGAATCAGGCAACCCCTGTGAAAGGGTCGTTTGACCCCCAAAGGGGTCACAACCCACAGGTTGAGAACCGCTGAAGTACAAGACTATGAAGGATGGAAATAATAATCCATCCTTATCAAGGGTTTGTGAGGGAGGGAGGGGAATAAATGGGTAGCTGATATCAGGGGCTCAAGCAGGAAGAGAATGCTTTGAAAATGATGATGGGAGTATATGTGCAAATGTGCTTGACACACTGGATGAATGTATGGATTGTGGTAAGAGATGTAAGAAGCCCCAATAAGTTAAAAAAAAAAAAAAAAGAATGTGAAGGAGACCCATTGAAAGATCATAAGATATGAAGGGTGACAGTGGCAAGCACAATGGCCTAATATTGCAATGACCTTGGCATGTTCAAAGTGTAGCACAGAAAATGTACAAGTGGTCAAAAAGATAATCAGGGGTCAGACCAAGAAAGGCTTATAGGCCACTGTAAATAGTTGGTGATATGTCAGGTAGTATTTTTCAAATATGGTCACAATATCTCATATTTCACAGACTCTCTTGTAATAAGACTCTGCCACTGCCACCACCACCACCACCCCACCCACCCCCTCACCACCACCACCCCACACACCCCCATTGAGAAGTAGCGTCTAGTTAGTTATCTCCTGTAACTGGGCTAACCAATAGCTCTAGGCATAACCTTAATCAGTCAGACAGTGTTTATTTCCCAACTCCTGGAAGCCTGCTGCCATGTAAAGAGGGTGAGTAGACTGAAATTGAGGAGACCCGGTGGTATGGTGGTAGGTGATCTGCTGCTAATAAAAGATCAGCAGTTCAGGCACACAAGAAGCTCCCTGGGAGAAAGGACCTAATGAGATCTGCTCCCATACAGAGTGCAGTTTAAGAAACTCTACAGGATAGTTCTACTCTGTCACCCACATTTGCTGTGAGTGAGAATCAGTTTGATGACACTCCACCACCTCCACCACCACCATGAGATCACCACACTGTAATACGCCCAGGTCATCAGGAGAGACCCTGAGGGATGACAAGCTATGCGAAGAGAGAGACCAAAGGTCAAAAGAGGTGCCATACATGTGACTACAGAAGCCATATTGGAAAGGATTATCCAAACCAGCTACCCCAGACAACACATGTGAAGAAGAGATAAACTGCCCAGCTGAATTCTTCAGAAATTCCTGACCCACAAAGCTGAGCAAAATAAAATTACAGTTTAAAGCTATAAAGATTTGGAGTAATTTACTGTATAACAGATCATTTTATAAAGAGAAGATGAGATCAGGTTTAAGCATGGGATTGCCACAACCTGATTTACGTTTTTTAAAATAATTATCTTATTGCTGCTATATGTTAGAAGATGAGCTAATCAAGAGAAGATAGTAGCTTAAACAAAGACACTAATAAATATTTTCTTTTAATACTGAGGTAGAAACTACCCTAAGCACTAGAAGCAATACAGAAAAAGAACTCATTTATTTGCCTACATGGAAAAAAATTTAATTATCCAAGAAAAAGACAAATGACAAAGAGGAAGTAAAATAATGTACAACAAGCTAAGAGTTTATATAACTAATGTATAATACATAACTACTAAGACTGCTCAATGGAAAAACTATCCAAGGAAAACAAAGCCATTCACAAAGTATAAGAGGGGTTTCAAAAAGGTTGTGGCAAAATTGAAGTAAATCTTATGGATTTTCCAAAAAGTTATAAAGCCCCATTCTATAGATAAGTCAGTCAATATATGAATAATACTCAATCTCAACAATATTTTTTAAGTAAAAATAAAGTTATACTCTAGTCCTTAAAATAAGATTCCTCAAAAAGCTGAACCCAGAATTACCAGGAAGCCTAACAATACCATTCCTAGTCCTTGCCGCATTAGTCATAGTAGCTAACAGACAGAAACAAACCAAGCAGCCATCAACAAAGAACAACATTTGTTGTTCATATACAATGGAATACTATTCAACCATAAAGAGAAATGAAGTTCTGATACATACTACCATAAGTGAACCTTGAAAACATTATACTGCATGAAATAAACCAGACACAAAAGGACCAAAGTTGCATGATTCCATTGATATAAACGATCTAAAATAAGCTAGTATGTAGAAACTACAGTTTATTGGTGGGTATCAAGAACTGTAGAGAGGAGGGAATGGGATTGCAGCTAACAGGTTGCTGAGTTTTTCTACTATGGGGTGATGTGAACCTTTGAGAAATGGTTAGTGAAAATAGTAGCACAATAAGAGGGGGACAGGGGGCGGAATGAGCTGACACCAAGGGCTCAAGTAGAAAGAAAATGTTTTGAAAATGACGGTGGCAACCTATGTACAAATGTGCTTGACACAATGGATGGATTATATGGATTGTGATAGGAGCTGTTACGAGCTCCCAATAAAATGACTTTTTTAAAAAATAGAAGCACAATATTGTGGATGTAATTAGTATCACTGAATTATACACTTAAAATGGCTAAGATGTCCTCGAGCTTTGCCCGCCCGGAGCCCTCTGCTCCCAGCGGCCAGAACGCAGGGGAAGAGCAGGCTCCGGGGCCCTAGGGGCGGGCGGTAGTGCCCGCGCCTGGGCCGCCGAGGTACAGGCGCAGGAAAAAAAAAATGGTTAAGATGGAAAATATTGGTTATATACTTCACCATAACAATTTATAAAGAAAAAAAATTGACCATTTTTGTGACTTTTATGTTAAAAACATAGTATTATCGGAACTAATGGAAACAAGTCTGCCTGAAAAAGACAAAAAATTCTTTCAGACATAAAAAAAAAAGAAAAAATATTTGAGCCCCGCCCTTCATCAAGGCCCTGGCTCATGCCATAATGCAACTTCCCCAAACCACCCCTGCTCCTCCTATCTCTCCCCTTTCAAAGCGTGTCCTGGGCTGCTGCCGCAAGAACCGCACCTTCTCCACCCGCACACTGTCCACGCGGGACTGCAGCCGTGCTACAAGTGTCCTTAAATCAGAGATGGACACTACTGCAGCTAGCCCAATGCCCACTGCGACATCGAGTACTGGAAAGCGCACAGGGAAATCCACAAGCTTTGCAGTGGAATTACAGAGTGTGATGTGGACCAAGCACAGGTCTGGAATGAACTGAAACATCTTCGATTCTCCTCTTGACTTTCTACTTGTTGCCCCTGCCCCCAGTGATTACATTACAATTTTTTTTTTAGTTTTCCTCTTTTTTTCCCTACTCATTGCTTTTTTTTAATCATGCATTAAAATTAATTTAAGATTAAAAAAATAAAAATATTTGAGAGGTAAGAACAAGGTCATTTTTTTGCTTTTATGAAATTCTTTTTTTGCACTTCAGGGAATAATGAATTAGATTCATTTTTATACATTTATGCTATCAAATATAAACCCTTACATATTATGCAGAAATACAAAGTCTAAAGCTCATAAAGTAATCATTTAGTTATAATCTGTATTAACAAATTATCAGCTAATTAAGATACAAAATTTCAGTAAATCAGAGGATTTAGCAAGGAAAGGCCTAACAGTAAGCCAAGTACTATGAACAATGGACAATTTGTTTCAAGTTAGACTCAGAAAATTCTTGAAAAGGTCACAGGCTAAAATGTTCGTCTTTGTATACATTCTAACTAGTTTCTAAAAGGTCTCTAGTGCCATTTGGGGGGAGAATACATTAAAATTAATGTAAGTTTTCATCTAAATGAGAAAAGACTAAAAAAACTGCCTAACACATCAGCTCTAGACACCCTACTAGAAAACAAACATGAATTAGAGAAAAGTATCAAATATTAATAATGGTTATAAAAACACATTTCCCAAAGTGAACACTTTATCTTTAGTACTTAAAATATATAGCACCTAATAATATTTATTTTGAAGTTTATATCCATTTTAACATGTGATTTCTAAATATAATTAGCACATCAAACATGTTTACAAAGGTAGTATCCCTTAGAGAATAAATGAAAGAGGCAAGCCAATTAAGTTATTCAACTAAGTAAATTACAGTGGATGTGAGCTAAAATTAGAGAAACAATGCGTGACTACTCTGAAATCTAACAGTGACCTTATAAAATAGTTATAAGTAACTACTCTTTTTTAAATATGGACACTATAAAGGCATTTGGGGGCAAAGAAATTAGCATGGCGTCAAATCTGTTTTTTCAAAAAGTAACTTCCCACATCATCTTCCCTTAAACATTTCCTGCTGTTTACGTTTTCTCCTTCTTACTCGTCTGAATTCAGACTACTAAGTTTTTCATTCACAAAGAACCTACTTATACTTGCAGTCCCAACTGCTACGGAATCTCCAAAAGCAGATACCTTTCTAGATTCTCCAACAGATAGCTTCTGTCAAACAAACTTGAGTAATAATGTTCCCATTTATAAATCCTGGCTTGTCCTCTTTCTTTCCCTGCAGTGTACTAATTCTGAATAAAAGCCATTGCGTTAGGGCAAGGAGGCAAGTTATGTGGGAGGGGCAGATGAAGGGGGCAGACATTCATATGGAGGAAATGGAACATGAACAGGGTGAAGAGGGTGTTCACATATGGAAGGCCACACAGCAAAGTATGTCAGCGCATGAATGGGGTGGACAGGGTAGCCAGGCATGCAATAACAGAGCCAAAGCAAGGCAGGCAGTGGAATAAAGAGGAAGTCCATGAGGTAAACACTCCAGAGGAGGAGGTCAACGCCTCAGTGGAAGACGGCAACCACAAGATAGAAGGGCCAGCATGGACTCAGTTGTAGGCAGGATGAGGAAGGCTTCTCTGTGTGGTGAAGAGGTGGGAGTGGTGGCTCAGGAGAGCCTGAAATTGGTAAGGGAAAGATGCACAGAAAAGGCAGTACAGCATAGGGTGACAGACTGGATAAGGCTAACAAAGGTATCGTCTTGGTTTTGGGTTTTTTGGGGGGGGGCGGCAGAAGTGTGGGGTACTGGAACTCAAATTGAGTGACAAGGGCTTCTGTGCTTGGGAATGGGCGGGAATGAATGGGAACGATGGGAGACCGGTTATATAAAATGGAGCTTATCAAATAAGCAAATATGAGGGGACTTCAAAAAGTTTATAGGAAAATGGAATTGAGATTTCTCCAAAAACTTTTTAGAAGCCCCCTGTATGTTAAAGATAATGAGTAACAGATTTCTCATTAGAGAAATAAATTAAAAATAGAGAAAATTAGATAGGGCACTCTGGTGTTGCACAAATACAGACATATTTATATACTTACATAGTTTTCAATAGAGAGACAGAAACAGATACTGACATACATATACATAAATTCACATATGCAGGGATAGGCAGATCTAGATCTAAATATATAATAGGTTTTCTAGCTCTGTCTACCTAAGGGGCCTAGAAATCATGATAATTCAGTACTAAGTAACATACCAAGCCCCAGATCTTGGTCTCTAAACATCTTTCTGCACTAAAAGGAACCAGCGGTCCTCAGAGAAATGGCAGATTGTAGTGCTGAGACAGGGAAAGAACATGAGAAGCCTGTTTTATCAGCAAGTAAGGGGTTTTCCTCAAAGAATAATGGAGTCTTTGTCAAAAAGACAAAGTCATCAGAAGAAAGGGTCTTTGCTACAAATTATGGGATAATTTAAAAGTGAAAAAATTATACAAATAACATTTTAAAAATCAGAATAATCACTAAATTAAATAGAAAACTTAAAAAACCACTAGTCTGTACTGATAGGAATAGGTATTTGAATGGATTGAAAGACTGCTAAGAAATTTGCCTAAGCCTCTAAGTACCCTCCCCTCCCCCTAGAATTTAATCTTTTCTACTTAAAAATACACATATGTGTATTTTTAAGTAGAAAAGATTAACTTTACATTGGAGAAGCTTGGCTCTATCTTAATCAAGCTATGAAAGTTAGAATTAACAATAATAAACCAAAAACCAACTCACTGCCATCAAGTTAATGCTGACTCAGTAACTCACTGTGGGTTTCCAAGACTAACTGTTTAAAGGAGTAGAAAGCCCAGCCTTTCTCCCACGGAACTGCTAGTGGTTTTGAACTGCCAACCATGCAGATTACAGCCCAAATCATAACCACTACACCATCAGGTCTCCTTCAACAATAACGAACCACCTAAATCAAGCTTACTGATTGGATGCAATAAGATAAAACATTGCTTCTTGTACAGTGCTTGAGTTGACAAAAGACTGTTGGAAATAGACACTGGTGATAGGTGCAGATATGGTGAATGTAATTAATGTTGCTGAATTTTACAGATAAAAGTAGTGAAATGGCAATTTTTATCTTGTATATAGCTGATGATGTTTCTATAATAGCATTTTTTTTGTTTGTTTTTTTTCTTTTTTATTGGGGCTCATACAATTCATCACAATACATAGATCAATTGTGTAAAGCACATCTATACATTTGTTGCCCTCATCATTCCCAAA